ATAGAAAATGGATTTATGAAGAGGTTTGACAGTTAACCTTTAGTTTCCATGACTCCTGGGCTGGTATCACAAATCCTTTAATCTCATTTGACAACCTCCACCTGTGCATTTGACCACTGGTGTTTTCCTCCATTTCAGACCTGGGTTCGTCGCCATGGGCGACTGGACGTATCTGTCTTCGCTGCTGGACCGGGTCCAGTCCCACTCCACCGTGGTGGGGAAGATCTGGATGAGCGTCCTCTTCCTTTTCCGGATCTTCGTGTTGGGCGCGGCCGCCGACAACGTGTGGAGCGACGAGGTGTCCGAGTTCTACTGCGACTCGCTAGAACCGGGCTGCCAGCACGCCTGCTACGACTGGAGGTTCCCCATATCCTACGTCCACTACTGGGTCCTGCACATCACCTTTGTCTCCACGCCCACCCTGCTCTACCTGGGCCACGCGCTGCACGTCATCCACAAAGAGAACCGGCTGAAGGACCAGTTGAAGGGGGAAGTGAAGAGACCAAGGTATACGAACGATAGGGGGAAGCTGAGGATAAAGGGAATCCTCTTCTGCACCTACATGACTCAGCTAATTTTCAAGATCCTGCTGGAGGTGGGATTCTGCGTGGGTCAGTTCTTCATCTTCGGCTCCTTTTTCATGGTCTCCTTCTTCCACTGTACGTCTTCCCCTTGCGCCCGCCTGAGCGGGGCCCAGTGCTACGTTTCCCGCCCCACCGAGAAGACCTTCTTCGTCTTTTTCATGCTGGCCGTTTCGGGCCTTTCGGTGCTCCTCAACGTCGTCGAGATCGTCTACCTGCTCTGCCAGAAGAGGAGGAGCGCCAGGAAGAGGCTCCTAGGTCAACAGCGGGCGCTCAGTTCCCGGGAATACCCGGCCAACCCGGGCTGGGGGGGAACCAGCAGTCCGTACGGAGGCTATCCCCTACTGCCCATACCGGTCCACGGCCAGCCGGACAGCAAAGAGAAGGACACTTAATTTTACTGTTACTGCAAAGACATTCTTTGAATCATAAAGGCAAAACCACGTTGTATTTTGAATATATAAAGTAGTGGTGTCGATTTATGGCCCGTAATTATATTAGATTTGGCACGCAAGACAATACCAAATGACTACGAGAGCTGGTATTATACTGTACAGGGCATTGACCGCTCATACTACAACTCCCATAATGCCCTGCTGCTGTTCAGGACAGGACCCAGAAACTGCTCTGTGACAGTAGATACACACTACAGCTGTCACTGTGCTAATGACCAAAAATGACCAAAAGAAAGACAGCAAACAGGAGCAAATTTTTGTTTGATATTTGATTCAGAAGGCTGCGAATAGAAAAATGTTTTCAAATTTTATTTCATAACTGAATGCCATTGATGTGTTTTTAATTTGAATTTTGATTTTACATAAAGAGTTGCTTGTTCCATATTCAATGTTAAAGCAAAATTCGTTTCGTTCCATATTAAAAGGTTGATTTGTTCAATCTAGGCCCGCGGTTTTGTTTAGGTTTTAAATTTTGTCCCACTGTGTTTTTGAGTTTGACCCCCCTGATATAAAGTATTACTAACAAACTGTCACGATTCCATAAATGACTGACTCTTCTGGAGGGTAACTGCTCTTTCATGGCCATTATTTTACAGTTCCAAGAATTAGCTACAATACTAATTAATAACTAATTAATATTGCATGTAAACCGGTATAGTTTAGCCATACTTTGCTTAAGAAACTGTAAATGATCAAGAAACAAATTAAGAAGGTAGACGCATGCACTGTGCTGCTTTCACCACTAGATGGCGACAAGCAACGCGACAAAAACACGTGTAGCCTGCTGTAAGGGGGGCTGGGGGGGTTGTCTGCAGGAGTTTAAAGCCCAGCAGAAGCAACTGGTTATTAAGGTGTGATATGACGGCTGCATCATGGATAAAGGGCTCGTGCTAACAATAAATGCGTGTCAATAAATTAATTTCCTTTAAGATGATCACCTGAGCCAAAAAAATGGCTTCATGTCATTTTTAGTTGATTATTTATTTCAAACTACAGGGGTTTTAGGACTGAAGTTTGACAAAGTAACGTTTTTATTTCCTTGAGGTATTAGTGGAAGTCCACTTTTATTCCCTCAGTGGTTCATGTTGTTTGTTGTTTTAAAAGTTCAGGAACAGAGTCAAAAGCCCCATCAACAAAGGCTGGACAGTGATGGAGTGACGCGCGCGCTCCTCTCCGGCGCGCGTGCCCGCGGAGGTGCGCGCGGAGGGACTCCTCGCTCCTGACGTAGAGATCAGGTGACCCGACTCCGACGGGCTCTTATAAGGAAAGTTTGACAAGTCCTTCTCAGTCTGCCTCCCGGTCCCGGACGGATAAAGTAACTCTCACAACTAGTGGAAAAAAGTTCCATTGAGTGTCTTTTTGTGTGTGTGTGTGTGTGCGCGCGTGTGTGTGTGTGTCCCTGGAACCCTTTAGGTAAGTTCAACGTTTTTTCTTTGTAAAAAAAAAAAAAAAAAAGAAAGTGTCTGACACGCGTCAAACTCGCGCACCTTAACTGGGAAACTTTCAGAGACTTTTAAGGACTTTCAGAGACTTTTAAAAAAAAAAAAAGAGTTTTCTCCTAAGGAAACTTCTCTGAACACGCCTTTAGGACACAATCTGTGACCAGACCAGATACATTTTGTGTCTTTTTTTTTCTTGGAGCTGGACTCAGCAGCGGCTATTTCAGAGCCTCTGACCTCCCTCTGCCTTCAGGAATGTCCAGGTTTTCTGCTCACAGACCCAGTCTGGGTTTATTGCAGGGTTCTGTTCAAACTGGATAAACTTATTTACAGGCTTCCCCCCCCTCCTCCCCTCCCTTTTCTTGCCCCCATGGCATATTATGATAGAATTATATGAAATGCTTGTGAGGGCTTCATTGTGCTGGACTCCATTGTTCTGTCTCTTCATCTCTATAAGACAGAGCCAGTCATGTAGAAAAGTAGCGGGATGTTTTCTGCCCTGTTTGTACTTTATTCCCCCCTGGCTCTCGTGAGGCTGGACGTTGTTGTCGGTCAGCTCTGAGGGGGCCCGTACTGTATGCGCCGTTTGTTGGAGGGAAAAGTGAGAGCACATGCAATTAATTTGGCACCATGTGGATGCGACTGGAGGTTCCTACTTATCCACAGTCATTTCCTTTTTCAAGGGCCCGGCCAGCATTGTCCTCTGGAGGAAAAATGTCCCCATGTGTGCAGCGTGTGAAGCCTGAAACAACTCATAGTAGTTTTTTATTTAGTTTTTTTAAAATACTGAGTGTGGAAGAATCCATTAGAGAGGATTTCAGATGGGAGGTGGGGCTGTGGAGGAAAGTGAGACTATGGGTGATTAAGATCACTTTTTTTTTACGTTATCGGCCTGAAATGTGTGCAGCCGATTAGTTCACTTGCGTCATTTCCTTTTTGTTCGCTTAAAATGGGGCGATATGTTCTGATTTATACAAATAAACACCTAAATGCGTGTGTTTTTTCGGTGTTTTTTTTTCTCCCGCTGGATAACTGCCACAGGCAGAGAGCGTTGCGTGGAAACAGGAGGAAGGTAAATCACTGCCTTCTGTTCGGCCTTCTGAGGATCTGCTCACATCCCCAGAGGAGCCACTTTAAGGGGCCTGCGGTCAGCAGATCTGCGTTAAAGACCACGTTTTTTTTGCGTCCTGCAACTGACTATTGTCATTTCTGGAATAGTTTTGGAATCCGGAGTCTTCCCCACAGGATACGTCTATGTGGATGTTTGCCGTGGAGCTGACCGCAGGCCTGACTGGGTCCTGAGGGCCAATTGACCAATTTCATGTGTTCTCCGAGGCCATTTTGTTTTCTGTGCCCGGCAGCTTCGTGTTCCCTTTTGTGTAAAAAGGAGCACAGGCTGGAAAAAAACAGAAAAAAAAAGCTGTGTTTGACTTTTAAAGCTGGCAGCTGCACAGCAACCATACGTTCCACGAGTGAAACTACAGGCCTTAGAGCTGTCTACAACCGCTGGCACACAGAGTTGAAGGGTGTCACATGACGTATTCTAAGGGGGAAGAGAAATGGGTTTGGAGGTGACTTGGTTCATATTGTTTTCAGGATTGATGACTGACCCATTTTTGTCCTGAGAGTGTGGACTGTTAGGGTTAAGCCCCCTGCGCTGGACGTGCCCGTATCGGTTATAAAAGCAAAATTACTGCCATTCCTCAAAGGTTTACCAGCAGAGCCTCTAGTCAGCTCTTGGCCTCCAATCAGAAAATGCATGTAGCAATTTGTGAGTCATGACAGATTTAGTAGCTCTGCATGAGAACTTATTCAAAGCAGCTCATATTAATAATTATATGTATATATGTTGGGATGCTGGTTAATTTTTTTCTTGTTATCTTTTTTTTTAAGTATCTCATGGACTGATGAAGACCACATTTTTGCCTGTTAGAAATGTCTTATTTTTTGTTTTGTTTTTCAGTTAGTCCAGGGCCAAAGGGAAGAACAGAGAATTGTCAAGGGGTCTCTTATTTGATTATGAAGCCAATGCTGTGTTCCTAAGGATCTGTCATTACTTTGTCCCAACCCCCCGCGTTGCCAGGGCTTGATTCTAGAGAGGAGAAACAGACCAAAACATGCTTTCCAGTAAATAGATTAGCTTGTGTGTTACCTCATTAAACAGTTTAGTCTCCTGCATTGACGGTTCTGCTTTAATCACATAGTACTGTGAAAGACAAACGCGTAAAGAACCGTCCCAAATATCCTCCCACTGCAAACTGCAAGCTAGCAAATGTATGTGTTTGAGCCTGTGCATTTACACTTGGTTTTTCCTTTGAGTCAGCTCAAATGCTTGTTTTTTTTTTTCCCCCACCAGCTAACACTCCCCAAAAATGGGCGACTGGAGTGCTCTGGGTCGTCTTCTGGACAAGGTCCAGGCCTACTCTACGGCCGGGGGGAAGGTCTGGTTGTCAGTCCTCTTCATCTTTAGGATCCTGGTGCTGGGGACCGCGGTGGAATCGGCCTGGGGGGACGAGCAGTCCGCTTTTAAATGCAACACCCAGCAGCCGGGCTGCGAGAACGTGTGCTACGACAAGTCCTTCCCCATTTCCCACGTCCGCTTCTGGGTGCTCCAGATCATCTTCGTCTCCACGCCCACCCTCCTGTACCTGGCTCACGTCTTCTACCTGAACCGGAAGGAGCAGAAGTTCAACAGGAAGGAGGAGGAGCTCAAAGCCGTGCAGAACGATGGAGGAGACGTGGACATCCCGCTCAAGAAGATCGAGATGAAGAAGCTCAAGTACGGCATCGAGGAGCACGGCAAAGTCAAGATGAAGGGAGCGCTCCTCAGAACCTACATCGTCAGCATCTTTTTCAAGTCCCTTTTCGAGGTGGGCTTCCTGGTGATCCAGTGGTACATTTACGGCTTCAGGCTGGCGGCGGTCTACACCTGTGAGAGGTCCCCCTGCCCGCACCGGGTGGACTGTTTCCTGTCCCGGCCCACGGAGAAGACCGTCTTCATCATCTTCATGCTGGTGGTCTCGCTGGTGTCCCTGTTGCTCAACGTCATTGAGCTGTTCTACGTGTTCTTCAAGAGGATCAAGGACCGCGTGAAGGGGAAGCAGCAGCCCACCCTGTACCCCAGCGCCGGGACTCTGAACCAGACCGCTAAGGACCTGTCGGCCGCCAAGTACGCCTACTACAACGGCTGCTCGTCCCCGACCGCCCCGCTGTCCCCCATGTCCCCGCCGGGGTACAAGCTGGCCACGGGGGAGCGGGGCACCGGCTCGTGCCGTAACTACAACAGGCAGGCCACCGAGCAGAACTGGGCCAACTACTCCGCGGAGCAGAACCGGCTCGGCCAGACTGCCGGCGGCGTCGGCGGCGGCGGAAGCACCATCTCCAACTCGCACGCGCAGGCCTTCGACTTTCCCGACGACACCCAGGAGCATAAGAAACTGTCCTCCTCGGCCGGGCACGAACTTCAGCCCCTGGCCCTGCTGGACCCCCGGCCCTGCAGCAGGGCGTCCAGCCGGATGAGCAGCAGGCCCCGGCCGGACGACCTGGACGTGTAAGAGGTGCCCCCCCCCCACACCCCCACCACCCACCTCCGCCGGGCCGAAAAATCAGCTACACTTGATCGCATAGGTTCATTTTGAATGAATGGACTAACCTCAGTCCAGTCCTAAAACCTGATAGAGACTTTGTGTCAGTCAAAGAGGCTTTGTGTAAAACATTCAAAGGTACAAATTGAACGTATATTCTCTCTTTTACTGTAACTTTATGTTAGTGTTTGCCCACTTTTAAAAAACCGTAGAACAACAATAGGAGCAGATTCTTTCCTGTGAAATAAACAAAAAAAAAAGCGAAACATTTCAAGTTAAGTGATTTAAGTTCGGTATTCAAGTCATTTTATGGAGGTCCAAGATTGGAGGTCATTGGTTCCAAGCGGATTTGTGCGATGCTTGAAATTTTGGAGTAGTCAGCAAAACAGGGGGAGCTTAGAAAGGAAGTGAAGCTTAGGGAAGGGGCACAAGAGGGAGAAACCCCAAAGAGGAACGCAACAAACATGAAAGTCAGCTAGCGGAAGAAAGTACACGTTGTGGACTCAGGAAACTGAGCAGAACTCAGTCAGCCTCTGTCTCTCTGGCCTGCACTTTTGTGAAAACACTGTACTTTACGCATGGACGATAAATAACGTGACAACATGTTGCTTGGAGAGCAGACTGACGAGTTAGGGGGTTGCGATCCTGTAGTATGTGACTTTAAGACTCACCATCATGTGACAGACCTGTTGTGTAACGTGCACAACACAACACAACAATCCCGCTACAAAAAGTGTTTCCTGGGCTTTAAGATGATGCGTTTAATTGGGTAAATCGTCAAATGATGCCCAAAAACCATTTGTTCTGATGCAGAGGGCCACGCTGGTCAAGTTGGTTCTTGTTTTTATCTTTCCTGTTAACGTTCCTCCCAATCATTCCACTTCATTTAAAAGCGAATGTCCACTTTAGTCCAGACTGGAGGTTCTCTACACAATCCTGCTCAAGGATTTCTAGTGCGTTTAAATGTATTCTGCGTCCTTCTGTAAATTCACCATCCTCCCATTGTGTGTTTAACTTTTCCATGTAAGGTTAGGTTGGGTTGGGGTTGGGGGTGGGGTTGGGGGTGGGCAGGGGGGGGTTCTGATCTCACCAGGCCATCACAAGGCCACACAGAGACAAGCAAACACACACACTCCCGTTCACTCCTATGGGGCAACTGTTTCTTTAGCCGTGGGAGGAAGCTGGAGCCAACCCATGCAAACATGATGGGAGAACCTTTGAAGGAAAGGTCCCGAGTCCCTCTGGAACCGGACCGGCTCATTCAGGTTCCCCACCTGCCGGAAAGGGGAGCAAACCGAATCATAATCATAGTGAAACTACTGAGTGAATATACCAACGCGGAGTTTTGGTTTTATTTTCCTCAAAGTCCCGAGGAAGTGTATCCACAGAGTTGCACAAGGCCCACTAAGAAAATGCCGTGTTTTGTGCTCCCTGTTGCCTAGCGACTATCGCATGATCGTTACCAATAAGATGACTTCACCACGGCTCAGACTGCCGACGTGAAGCTAAGTTGGACTCGATCGCACTCTTTCGAAAACGCATCCAAGCCTACTCATATATACGCTTTTACTTTGGTTTCTCGTCTTATTCCGCTTCTATAACTGAACCCTCAGTCTGTTACAAAAGGACTTTAAAGACTGTAAGGAAAAAAAAAAAGAGTTCACCATTTGGTTTTGCTGTTTGCATGTTACTTTAAAATAGCTTTTTGATATATGGAAGTCGATACCTAACAGATCTAATACACCTACCACTTAGAGGTAAAATTGACTACTGTCCAATAACTCGAAGAAATTGTCTTCATCAACCCCATCCACAAAAATGTGTATTTATTGAAAGGAATAATTTTTTTTTTTCCATTTTAACTCTTGTCAGTCACCCTGGACTGTTGATTCCTGATAAACTTTGAATATGTGTAGTGTTATGTTCTACGTAGTGGCTTTGGGATTTTGGTGTGTGTGAGAGTTTCTGCTCACAACTGCCGGTCTGAGTTCTATACAGAGAGTCTTTATTCCAGTCCTTCATTTATCCCTGTATTTTTTTTATTTTTCATCTGTTGAGTTTTTAGAGAAATGCAGTTGTGTTTTTAAATATTTGAGTGAATGTCTTTTTTTTTTTTTTCTTGTAGGTATGTTTAACCCGTTGCTGCTTGAGAATAGATGTTTAGTACTGTAAATCAGGCTAACTGTGTCACAATAAAAATGTGAGTTTTTAGAAGACTGGTAATAGATCTGGACTAATATTTAGTCA